TACATTAGGGTTATAACCAAGGAAACCAAAATATGCAAATGCATGTTTTTTGTGGTGCGTCGTATGGACTCATGGATAAGATATTTACACGTTTCAGACCAATTTAAGAATTTTGGCATCGATTTGTTAGAGCATATTTTTGCATATTTTACCCATAAGAGCATAATTTTGCATGATTTTACTTTTTTAGCATATTTAAGGCATATTTTCGAGTTTTTAGAGCATATTTTACTCTTTTAGTGCATATTTTGATGTTTTCTCTTTTTTTCGTTTTTGTACATTTTCAAAACTTTATTTAAAAAAAAATAAAATTTTATTTTTAATTTTTTAGCCTATTTTACAATTTAAAAAAAAAAATTCGTTTGTACAACTTAAAAACTGCAAAAAATACATTACTCTACTGTTATAGTTTTTTGTTCAATAAAGCATTACATTTTAAATCAGACATAAAACCGATTACTTTTGATTTCATGAGACCAATCCATTTTTATAGTTTAAAAAACTAATTATTGGAATTTATGACAACACCGATTAAAATGTCAGTTTAGAAGCTATGAATACAATTGGAAGAAATGTGTCAAACTTTGTCGTTTGAAATATGATTTTTGGGGTCCAAATGGTTTTATGTTATTTATTGGTTATCTGAACGTAAAACGGAATTCTATTAAACTAGTTCTTCAAACTATGAGATGAATTAATTATAAAAAATCTTGTAGGATGAAATATGACACTAAACATTTATTATTTCATTACAATTTCTGTCTTTTTGAGCTTTTCAATGTTAAAAAATAATGAAAAATTTTATTTTTAGAGCATATTTTTTAAATGTTAAGAGTATATTTTGAGTTTTTTACGGCATATTTAAAGCGCTTAAAACACTCTTTTTAGAGCATGTTTTCGGTTTCCCTGGTTATAACCAAAATTAGGCCCTATCACTACGTGGTAGAGTTTTAATAACAAAAACCTTTTTCTGGGTCATTTTAGTGCAAAAATCTATTTCAAACCCTTTACAAACAAATTTACGTGCATTTTTAATAGTATAATCTATATGTTTGTTTACTAAAATTGTAAGAGGGATTGACCGCAGCCCCAATCTTTGCTTTTTCATCATGTAAATCTCGTAGGTCCATTAATGACTCTTGTTTCTATCTTAAATTTCCGATTTAATAATTTCACCATTAAATCTAACTAAAGATTTCACTTAAATATTACCAGAAATATAAAGTAGTACAGCAAATGGTCTGACTAAATTATTTATATACCTCACATGTGGTTTTAAAGTTAAATGAAGAAAAAAATTGACTTTAGCAGGAAAATATTCTAAAAAAATATAAAAGTCAGTAGCAGGAAAGTATAAATGAAGCATTAAAGCACATGTGTGCATATTTTTTTCTTTCTCAATGTGCAAAAATATATAAATTATTTTCACCTTTTATCGGAAGCGCAATACATTTAACTCGTAAGAGCGTTTAGAAAACTATCAGAAGGTGCTTTGGGAAAGGAAAAATTTCATAATAAACTAATAACTGTAGAGCAAAAAACACTACACACATGTAGCTAAAGCCAAAGGACTTTAAATACATGCACTCCCAAATAAAAAGGTTTTATAAATCACAGGTAAACATATATACATACATACTCAGACATAATATTCCTTTGAAAAACGTTACCAATATTTTTATGCATTGGTTTCCAAATACTACTTAGCTTTACCTTACTCACACATATTCATACTCTATAAAGTGGACATTAGTTAACAGAGTTATTGCACCCAAAACGGAAATATATTTAATGGCTGCTAATAATATAAATACAATTTCTCGTTCAGATATCCATACATACATATCTACATTAATTATTACTTAAGTATATATACATATAAACACGAAATATAAGTTAATTTTGTAACTATTACAAACAACATACAACATTTAGCTAATCAGCATCATCATCATCATCAACAGTATCTATCTACTACTCCTCGTGAACATTTTCTTTATAATTTTATTTTCCTTATAATCTTTATATTTTCTAGCATAAACATTATTTTAAAACACTGTATATTATTTCCTTAACTAAGTAGCTAAAAAAATAATACTCGTTCACCATCAAAGGAAGAAGCGGAAGATGTTACTTAAATAAGTATTTCTGCAGTAGTAGTATTTTGAACTGGTTTAATCCCTAAGCGAGTTACACAAACAACTACTTCATACATATATTTTTAAAACGGAAATTGTAGTTAGTACTTTAATGCACACACACATGCAAACCTTTGCCTTAAATAGGAATACATATATATATAAACATGGACTCGTAAACTTCTTACATACTTATGTATATACACAGGATTCAGTTAGTGTCATATGTGTATCTGTATATTAGGACGGTATCACTTATATGGAGCCGATTTTTGTAGAGATGCAAGAACAGTGCGTGACCCAAGTTAAAGGACTACAACAGAACAAAGGCGAGCCCATGAATATGAAAAAGCTAATACCAATGTTTATATAAGTTTTGAAGTGTGGATTTTTATGTAGTAAAATAATTGAGATATATGTAATTTAGTTCGGCACTAATATATTAAATTTTTTTTAACGAAAATATTATCCAACGTTTATTCAATTTCTCGCGCCTCTCTCATGAAAACGAAATGGACGTAGCAATTTGTTAGCTACCAAAAAAATTATCCAAATTCAAAAGATACAGTTTTTTTTATTTTGTCCACCAAGATTTTTGATTTGGAACCACACTGGTACGGTTGTATGGGGGCTAAACTGACTATAAACATTCGTCCTTGAGTCAAAAGAATACGACTTTGCGCCAAATTTCATCAAATTATCTTGAAAATTGCGACCTGTAGTGTTCGCACAGGGTTTACATGGACAGTTCTAGTTCAGTTCTAGTTCAGTTCTAGTTTAGTTCTAGTTCAGTTCTAGTTCAGTTCTAGTTCAGTTCTAGTTCAGTTCTAGTTCAGTTCTAGTTCAGTTCTAGTTCAGTTCTAGTTCAGTTCTAGTTCAGTTCTAGTTCAGTTCTAGTTCAGTTCTAGTTCAGTTCTAGTTCAGTATTATCCAACGTTTATTCAATTTCTCGCGCCTCTCTCATGAAAACGAAATGGACGTAGCAATTTCTTAGCTCAGTTCAGTGTTTTGATAAAAGCTCTTTTAAAAATGCCTTAGAATTCGATTTTCACTAAATTATTGACTTTTTATTAAAACTACTTATGATAAAATATTAATAGAAAAGTTAAGAACTTTTATATGGCATCTGAATATTTAAATTTTAGGGAACCATCCTAAAGTAAGATATATGTGTGTGTGTTTATTAGTGGGTGTTAAATATTATTCAGTATTTTAAACTAAATTACACTCATACACACTTACGAATACAGTTAGAGAGTAGATAAGTATGCGTGTTTATCTATCTATGAAATATGTCATTACAGTAAAGTGAAAAAGTAAAATACCAAATAGAAAAAAAGTATAAAATTAAAAAGAAATGAATAGTCAAGTCTAGATTTTGTAAAATATATTTAAGCAAAATAAAAGGGATCTGATTTTATATCTTGTTTCGTGTTGGACTTGTTTATATACATATCTTATATTAAAAATCTGATCACTGTAAAATTAGCGAAAATTTAAAATTTAGATAATAATATAAAATTTTTCTGCAAAATATTGGTCTTAAAATCGAAATAATTTTTAAATCGCACTGTAAAAATAATATATTTGTCTGTCTTTTAAAACTACACATACACCTACAAACACATTAATGCATTTAATATGTTTAAATATACGTGTGTAACATTTAAAAGAGAGAGTGTGTGTTAATACGTACTCATAATTAGTGGTCGTTAGTAGTAGTGAAGTGGCTTGTTCTATAATAAATTTTTAATCTGTAACATTTAACCATTTTTTCTCTTCTTTTGCTTTTTTCCTACTCCTTTAACTCTTTGTATATTTCTTGTTTAATGGTGGTATTTTTTTATCAACAATTTATTTGTAGTACCTACTATGTACAATTGTATAGAGGAGAGTTGGTGAAATTTTAGTAAATCTTGTGCTGAAAGGATTAAATTTTTTCTATTTTATTTTCATTAAAAAAAATGAATTAAAGCAAAAAAAAAAAAACTTCAGTTCAGATGTAATAAAGGAACTAATTATATGCGTAATTATTACAACATTTTCATAAAATGTTTTAAATATTAAAAAAAATCTAGTAGATAAGAAGAAGAAAAAAACAAATAAAAATGTTGTTGAGTTGTGTGAGAGAGTGTAACTTGAGGTAATATAGCATTGCAGTAAAAAATAAATAAAAATAATATTTTTTATAAACAAGTAAAAGAGAACTTTTAAAATGTGTTAATATCATTACGAGGCGGTAGCGGCAAAAAAAATAATAAATGTTGAATGTAAAAGTGCGGTTATTTGATAAATTTGTGTAGGGTTTTTTATTTTAAGTTACTGGTAAATAAAACAGTAAAAATCTGTATTCAAAGTTAAACTATTTAAAACGAGATTGTGGAGAAAACTTTTAAAACCACAAAAGGGAGGTTTGAAATTTATAGCCCCTCAGATTGTGTGTGTGTGTTTTAAGTAATTTAATAGTTTTAGTTTGTTAAACTATGAATATGAGCAATTATATACACATTTAACGGAAATTAATGGCATAAATCAGTTAAAAAGTGTATAAAGAGTAGTAATGCTATTTAGTTTTGTTCTAATTTTTGGTTAATGAAATTTTAATATTGTTTTATTATCATACTATTACTATATCGTAAAAAATAACAGATTTGTTAGAATATAAAATAAAATTTTGGACGTTAGTTAGTTTAAGAGGCGGATATATTTTACTTCGGGCCTGCTGTGCGCTCCTGTAGAGTCTCTGCTGGAAATTGAACCCAAGGCCTTCGGAGGCACCCATTTTTTATATGTATACTTCAGCAATATATGATAGAAACATTTCGTTTTATAAAAATTCCATTACTTAATGATTGTACTTACCAATTTAATTAAATTATACTGTTATTTGCGACAGACCATTGAAGAAAAAATATTCTGAAATTAAAAATAAAGCGTTTAGAAGCGTATACTTAATATTTACAAAATATCAAAATTTTAAGGCTAACTTTTAAAGGTATTTTTACTTTAAATTCAAACCATTCGGAATTAAGGTGAAATTCAATATAAATGCTTCATTATTAAAAAATAAATTACATTTTAAATATGTATTTTAAACTGGTGTAGGGTATCATATGGTCGGCCATGCCCGCCGAAAGTAATTCTTACTTATTTTTTTAATTAGAACGAGTAGGAAACTATAAAAGCCTTATTCGGGGCTTCCGGTTTTAAGGGGGCTAGGTGAAATAATGGACCGATTGAAACGATTTTCAATAGCGTTCGTACTTGGACCAAAAGAAGCGCACGTTCCAAATTTCATCAAATTATCTCACAGACTGACAGACGGACAGACATAGCTTAATCGACTCAGGAAGCTATTCTGTATAATATATATATATATATATGTATATGTATATATATATATATATATATATATATATATATATATATATATATATATATATATATATAACGTATAATAATCTCCCCACTATAGTGGTGTATGGTATAAAAATCTTCTTTTTAAAACAAATCTACAGAAAACAACCCTTAATACAAACAAAAAAATATTTACCTTAATACCTTTAATTACTCTAAAACATTTGCACAAAGTTAATATTTGTGCTAGTAACAGATTTTATTTAATGAACACCTCGCAATTATCAAAATTACAAAATCATTTCTATTCAAAACTAAATAAGCGTTTACAAGCAAGCAACTAAGAATAAAATATTCTTAAAACGGAATTTAAATAAACAAATTTTGCCAACAGGAAAATTAAGCACAACTTTTTATTTAAATAAGAACAAGAAGACAAAAAAATGCAAATAAAACACAAGCGAGCAAAATGAAAAAAATGAGAAAAACAATTAAATTTCTAGTTACTTGAAAATGTTTGCGGAAAATTAAAAGGAAATGAAATACAGCTTAAAATGAAACTACCGGAAAGTGAAACAGAATCCTACGAAATAAAATGGAAAAACACGCAAAAATATATAGAAAATAATACAAATAAATTTCTACATTCATTCGTACACACTGAAGAAAAATCAAAAACATCTAGAATATGAAACCACACCTAATAGTCAGCATATTGCAGTATTAAAATTAACAAAAAGACACACAATAATACACAACACACATAGACAGACATAGATAGATAGAAACTGGCATCTGAGAATTTGGGGACCATAGAATATTAGTTATACAGGACGACCAGTAGACTACTTCCACTACTACGACGATTACTACTATTTGTTTGAAATGGCTTTGTGTGTAAGCCAGTGTATTAGTAATACACGTTCGTTGGAACAGCAACAGCAGTTTGTGGTTCTAAGATTTCCCGCCAAACCGTAACAGTATTGTATGACTCAATATGATGATAGCTGGGCTGGTTGAAACAAAGAAATTTAAAACACTGGCAAAAATATGTAATAAAATTAAATATTTTTTTATTAGAATTCTTATTGCAGAGCAAACTATGTATTTCTAACAAAATTTACACATTGTTTTAGTATTTCAATATTATAATAATTAAAACATAACGATCATATTTTTAAAACAATTTCTTTATTTTCTATAGAAAATATTTTTATAATTACTTTAAATTTTTTCCACTGTGTAGTTTTGAATAAATTATAATTTTATACTACTTGTACCTACTACAGCAAAAAAAAAAAAAACAATAACAACATGTACATATTTATTTTCACTGTCAAAGTTTTGTAAAAATATAAGATTTCAAGCTGGAATTAATGTGTTTTTAGATGTGTGGACGGACGAACAAACGAATGAATATGAAGCGAAAGAAGCTAGAAAATGTTTTACATTTAATTATGCTTAGAAAGAATGAACCCACCAACGAAAAAATACCGACTGAAAGACTAACCAACCATCCAACAAACCAAGAGTAGCAAGCAACAACACTTGTTTAATGAGGAAAACTGAGAAAAGCTACAACAACAAAGAATATCTTAGTACAGTTACAGAGGTTCTTAAAGAGTTGGACCAAAAATACTGCTAAAAATTTTCTATTATTTTTCCACAAATTACTAAACTGTAGCACTTCACTATTAGTCAAACAATGCAAGGAATATCTGTCAAGGCATGGTCGCATGACTGATATTACCCATTTTAGGATCCTCGTGCATAGGGACTTTTATAGAAATGAATAGGCAGATGAGCAGGCCAACAAGAGATCTGCTCTGTATATCTCTAACGCTATTTCAGTTGCAACTCCATTAGGTCTTATCAAAAGCAGTGTTCAGATTCTCTCTTCAAAAGGCTGAAAAAGGTGGAATTCTTCTTTCAATGAGAAACGTACAACACATCTTATAACCCGAAATAGACGTGATATATCGAGGTTGATATCAGTAATAACTGGACAAGTCGACTTGGGATCCTCTTCAATGAATACTGTCACAGTTATAAAGACAGGTAAAAGGAAGAAACGGCCTTTCATCTTCTATGCCGTCCGAACTTGGTGAGATAAACTTAATGACCTTTTGCGATTTCTCACGACTACAGGCTGGATCTATAATACTACGCAAAACTACATCTGACGAGTAGAGTGGTCCTGTCAAAACAGAGTCACTTCGATGCTACTCTTGGTGTTATGGCAATATCGCGGGGAAAAGAGGTGCTATGATCTGAGAATGGACCTGCTGTAAGGTGGTGAACGATCGGGAAAGACTCCTCTGCCCGACAGGAGACTAGTTCTGATTTAGTAGACCTTTTACTTCAGGGAAGTTCTCGGTGCTTCATGCTACGCGACTTATGGTTGAGAGCTGCCACTCAACTTGTCGGGGGTTCGAATAGGCTTTGGAAATTCCTTCATCCTTTATCACATTATCTGACATACAGAGGGATCCAGATTTATTGGCTGGGTATTTCGAACTATCAAATACGTCGCTAGGTGCTGTTGCCGAATCAAGAGTGCCATCTCGGTAGTGTGCGGGCTTTAAAAGGTTTAGGTATGCACTGGAATGGGTCATTAGTTGATGGGGATTTCATTTAAAATAATGCAATCTTTCATGACATCATAAGGATCACCTTCCAGTATACCGGAAGATTGCATTCACCTGATGTTGGGATTGTATCCCCTTCTATTGACTTTAGACCAGTGATTGCTTTTTCCTTGTCGGGGTTTACATTGGAATTGATCCCATACTGACTTTCATTCCGCAACGGGGCTAATATGGCAAGAGATTATATAGCTCGACTACTTCGGCAAAGTGCTTGTACATGTACCGACACAGCTATGCACAAAAATTACCACCTGAGTTCTTTATAGAAGAATTCAGGGGCGCGTGGTAGACCGTCCCAAGTCTACTCAGTGGGTGAAAAAGACCACCGTGAAATAAGGCCGTCAAGGCAGGTGTTCACGTTAAGCACTTAGACATCTTGTCCGCATGTAGTGAACTACCACGATAACCAACCAACCGTTTTCCATCGCTGGAAGGGAACTTAGGACCTTGTGTTCAGTATTCCTACAGGATATTCTTAAAAAGGCTGTTCCTTGGCTGTAATGTTAATATGTATATTCTGAATTCTTAAGTATTAGCAAAATCGCGTTTAGGTTTCTCTACTCAAAGGTTAATCGTCTATACATTTCTGTAGTAATCTAGCAACTCTACCGAAAGTGACTGGCTAAAAATTGTACTTAGATCAATCTGTAGACCTAAAATCCTATCGACGAAGATGATCTCTTAAAACAATATTTTAAGTCTCTCTGCCCATTTTGTAACTGAAGTATGACTGTAGTATATTTGTTACGTTGAGCTGCTGATTTTGCGGTTTGACGTTTTTTTTTTTTTTTGCTTAATGTTCTCTTGCATTAAATAAGTGTGTGTTCTTTTGAAAGAAAAATAAAATAATAAAACAACAAAAATAATAACATCTAAAAGTTTTTTATAGCTGTTGTTATCGTTGTTTTTATAAAAAAAAACAATAGCAAGTTGCAACAAATAAAATAATGATTCACTTACTCTCCCCCTCTTGCCATTGCATTGCAATTCTCATATTTCTAATTCTGTTGGTTTTTCTAAATAAATTAATAAATTTGCATGTCTCTAATTTTCACTTACAACAATACTTTTAAATACAAATTGTTAGAGAAAAAAGCAAAAGCGTGGGTTGTTTTATTTTATATTTTAACATTTTACAAAGTTATGTTGCAGTTAGTTTAAAAAAGCAAAAATATTTAAGAAAAACATTAAATTAAAATTTTATATTGTTTTTTTTTTCGGTTTATAATCTCAAATGCACGCAAATGTTTGTTTTTGTACCATTTACATTTCTCTATTATTGTTATTGTGAAAGGAAGAGTTGTGAAAGGGGGACGTTTAGATTTGCTGACTTTTTGTTTTCTATTGTTGTTATTTAAAATTCATACATAAATAATTGTTTTGCTATTGTTTTAATGTTGTTGTTGCTGTTGCTGGCATTCAACATAATTGTAGCCAAAGTGTTAAAAAATGGTTACTAAATAAACCTACACTGACGCTCACTTCACTCTCTATTTCTCACCCACGTTACCACAAATATAATGTTTATTCCCATAATTTAAAATGAAATTTATTTAAATATTTAATTATGTTAAAACAATGTAAAGAAAACCAAATAACAAAATAAAAGCAAAATTATAAATAATGATGGACTGTGTGAAATGTGAAAAATTCGTTTTGCCAGATATGTATTTACGTTTGTAGGTTTTCAAATATTTAGGTCACTGTGTTACTGAACAATTTTAAAATTTCTATTTTAAATATTATACAGTTTTTATAAGATTTTTTGCGCTTTTTTATATTTCTCTGCATTGCAAGAATTAATGCAAGCATTAATCAACTAAGTCGATTTTATATAAAAAGAACTAACTATACAGTAAAGTAATTTTCTTTTATTAAATTTTACAAAATTATATATGTATGTTTAATATT